ATGTTGTTATTAAAGAAAGGAAAAGAAAACATTAAACAGAACATCAAATGACTGAACATAAATGAAACTGGTTACTACTATTACAATCTCTTGTGTATGTCTCTCTGTGGAGAGAATTTAACAGAGATTACACCCTTGAGAGTGAACCGCCTCTGGGGAGGCACCTTTCTCTTGGTAAGTTAAGACCAAAGTATATTATTTCCCAAAATTATTGTGAATTCAGTTTTAGAATCTTAAAACTGTTCATGTATGGGCAAAATAGTTCAAGAGCAAATGAAGCCTGTCTATCACTTAATAACCTAAACAGTTTATAGTTGGGCAAAGTAAGCAACCTTAACTAAATCCTATGAAAATGGAAAAAAAATACTTAAATGAGTTACTTAGAAGAAGCCATTTAAGGAGCTGTCCCTAAGACAGTCCAATTATTTATTATCTTAAATCCGGTTAGATTCCACTATTTCTCTATTTGCCAATGTTTAGCCACTGTTTCCTGTCCAGGAATACATATCTAACTACTTGGTGAATAATAGAATAAGAAACTGTTTGTTGTGGCCAGATCATGTGCAACCAGACCTAACAGTGGGAGTGAGTCTGCAGTCATGAGACAGGAGTCAAGAGTCAGCTGGGTCAGGATACCAGGGGGTCAGAGGCAGGAAACAAAATGGAGGTCAGGAACCACAAGGCAGATGCCAAGAGTCAACCTGGGTCAGGATGCCTGGAAATAAAATAGCAGAAAACACATAGTCCAGAGCAGGGTGGAGCCCAATTGTTTGGGAGAGCTGCTTGTTGCTGCCACTGGCTTAAGTAGAGCCATTGGGCCAATCAGACTTCAGGGGCAGAGCCTCACTCTGGGGCTGGGCTTCATGGGTCCCAGGTAAGCCATTGTCACCAGGCTGCTAGGTTGAGAGTTGAAGTGTTGTTGCTCCCATGAAACCTGCAGACTTGGGTTTGAGATCTGTGGGTCATTACACCACCCACACCTCTAGGAGTGCCCTCTTTACAAGGGTAGCAGACAGGGTGTGTGATAGGTGCTCACTTAGAGGTTTTTATACCTTTATCCTTCCTGCTTTCATAAAAGTACAGGAAAACGCACCTCTTTCAGACCTGTTCAGATTGAAAGTCGGTTGCTGCTACCCTTTTGTTTGCTTAGGTGACACTTTCAGCTCCTGAATATGCAGTCTGTTTAATGAATATATGCAGCGTTTCTTTATAGATTCATAGATATTAAGGTCAGAAGGGACCATTATGATCATCTAGTCTGACCTCCTGCACAAGGCAGGCCACAGAATCTCACTCATCCACTCCTACAATAAACCTCTCACCTATGTCTGAGCTATTGAAGTTCTCATATCATGGTTTAAAGACATCAAGGTGCAGAGAATCCTCCAGCAAGTGACCTGTGCCCCATACGACAAAGGAAGGTGAAAAAACCCCAGGGTCTCTTGCAGTCTGCCCTGGAGGAAAATTCCTTCCCGACCCCAAATATGGCGATCAGCTGAACCCTGAGCATGTGGGCAAGATTCACCAGTCAGATACCCAGGAAAGAATTCTCTATAGTAACTCAGATCCCACCCTATCTAACATCCCATCACAGGCCATTGGGCCTATTTACCATGAATAGTTAAAGATCAATTAATTGCCAAATGTCCCATCATACCATCTCCTCCATAAACTCGACAAGTTTAATCCTGAAGCCAGATAGGTTTTTTGCCCCGACTACATCCCTTGGAAGGCTATTCCAGAACTTCACTCCTCTGGTGGTTAGAAACCTTTGTCTAATTTCAAGTCTAAACTTAGAATCATAGAATATCAGGGTTGAAAGGGACCTCAGGAGGTCATCTAGTCCAACCCCCTGCTCAAAGCAGAACCGATCCCCAATTAAATCACCCCAGCCAGGGCTTTGTTAAGCCTGACCTTAAAAACAAAACTTCCCAATTGCCAGTTTATATCCATTTGTTCTTGTGGCAACATTGGTACTGAGCTTAAATAATTCCTCTCCCTCTCTGGTATTTATCCCTCTGATATATTTATAGAGAGCAATCATCTCTCCCTTCAACCTTCTTTTGGTTAGGCTAAACAAGCCAAGCTCCTTGAGTTTCCTTTCATAAGACAGGTTTTCCATTCCTTGGATCATCCTAGTAGCCCTTCTCTGTACCTGTTCCAGTTTGAATTCATCCTACTTAAACATGGGAGACCAGAACTGCACACAGTGTTCCAGGTGAGGTCTTACCGGTGCCTTGTATAACGGTACTAACACCTCCTTATTTCTACTGGAAATACCTCTCCTGATGCATCCCAAGACCACATTAGCTTTTTTCAAGGCCATATCACATTGGCGGCTCATAGTCATCCTGTGGTCAACCAATACTCCAAGGTCCTTCTCTTCCTCCATTACTTCTAATTGATGTGTCCCCAGCTTATAACTAAAATTCTTGTTATTAATCCCTAAATGCATGACCTTGCCTTTGTTCTTCTTGTGGCAAGACAGCATCAGATAACTTTCAAAACTAGTCTTTATTCAGTCCAGTCTCTGAGAGTCTTTCAGTTTTATTAGAGCTTGTCAGGAAATTAAATTCTGCTTTCAGAAAGTCCAAACACTCCTGGTCTTTATATAAAAGGTTTTAGTTCTCAAAAAGTCTCTTAAAATTAAATAACTTTTAGAAAGTCTTTAGCTCAAGTTGTTGTTTCTGTTTTTGGAATGATGATTTTCTTATCTTCCTGAATTGGGTGAGGGTTTGCTTGCACACTGCCAGTAATTAATTAATTCTCCATTAATATAAATATTCTATACTTAAATGGCTTCTTATCTTAGTAACTAGTTACAGCATCAAATGACTTTGCTATATTTCTGCATAAAACATCTTATTATTCCTGTAACAGTATCAGGCAGTTATATAAAGGCTTGCATTTTGATACAAAATATTTGCAAATATACATCTCAAAAGGTGTTTGCTGTTTCAACATTTAAGAAATAAAAGTTTTTAAAACATTTCCAACTACACTTGTTTATCCTGGAGTTTCAAAAACACAAGCAGAGATTTTTCCTTTGAAAAGAAATGGGGTTGGTGTGGTCACTTTCCAACCTAGATTTATAGCTCGCATAACACACCTACATTCCTTTTTACAGTTAAGCCTCTACTTAAAACATTAATGTTTTTTACATGTTTTGTCTTTTTCATGTTTGCTTGACCTTGGAAGATAGAAGCAGAAAACTTCTGGCACTTCGTGGATTAACTTTAACATTTTGTAACATGCTTGCTAAACACATGTACTGTTATATATCCAAGCATCCTGGCTATAACTTATTTGTAGCTATTTCTTGATGTTTAGTAAAAGCATAAACAAGTTTGTAACAATGTCATGAAAAGAGTTGTTATAATTTATTAATATAATACTGAGGTCTCTCTCCTACTAAGGCTATTAGCAATCTGTCCATTTGGGACATTTCTATATACAAGACTTCTTCCTTCTCTTTGTATCTTGATGACCAAAACATCATCCCCCACGTTTCTTCCCACATTTTGAACAAGCCCTGGCTCCCCAAAACTGCAGGAGATGGAGAGTAACTAACTGAGTCTTGTGGAGGAGTCTGTGGATATATTCCTCTTCCTGCACCAGGACCAGACCACTCCCATCTCAGTATCCAGAGGGAGACCAAGAAAAGGAAAGCACTAGTTCAGGGGGACAGGAAATAATGCTAACAAAAGAAGCAAAGCAAAATAGTAATGCAACAAAATCTAAAAATGACCATAACCTGTGCTTACTCAGTGTGACGCTGTACACCCCCAGTCCCTCCCTCCCCCCCACCCCCCTTAGTGGCTGTACAATGCATAGAGGCGGTTGAGCCTGCTGCTGACTTCAGCCTAACGGGTCTGGGGTTGCATCCTGCTGCGAGGGGCTAACCTGGTGGTGTCAAATGACAAGTGGTGGCTGAACCACATTGAGGTTTGAGTCTGCTACAACCAGCTAACAAAGCTGCATCTTTTAGTTCAGGCAGTCGAGTTTTATGCTTTTAGAACCAGAGGACCTGGGTTTAACTCCCCTTGTGGATGACACACCTAAGGCTGTCACATTACATTAAAAAAAAAAAAAGTAATAAATACAAGTTTTATTGTATTATTCTTGAGCACTTGTCACTTTTCATGATACGTGAGCAAGTCAGTCCAGCCACAGGAACTGGTGACCCTCCGCCATGGTATCTACAGTGTGGGAGGGCATTGGTGGGTATAGCCCTCATGATACATGTACAAGAAAGAACCATTAAAAGCAGTCATTGGAACACAACAAAAATGTTTAAAAGTACAAATATACATTAAATACCATAGACTTTGTCCCTGCTGTGCCTGAAGTTATGGGATGGATAAAATCATCCCCAGCACCAGGAGCGGTTGTAGGAAAACTGTGTAAGGACCTAGTGCAATACTGCACATGAAATGGGAATCTCTAGTGTAGGCAAACCTTCAGAGGTGCTATAATAGGCACTCAGTTTTTAGGAATCAAACACATAACTTTGTTTGATGAAGGGAGAGATGAAAGATAGTCATGAATAATTGGAGAGTGCTAGGAGTCTGATCCTGCAAGGTGCTGAATACTCTTGGTTCCATTGGAGTCCTGCACCTTGTAGGATTAGGATCTAACTAAAAGACTGAGAGAGGAGTCCTATGATAGAAGTAGCAAGACTTCTAACAACAGATTAAAAACTCCAAGGGACAAATGCTGTGCGAATTTAGTAAAGTTCCCAGTCAAGACCATAAGATATAAATGATGTCTGTATATTCCACTTATATCAATAATACATGCATTCTGTTATGAGCACCCCCAAGCAAATACACTTTTATGACTGTAGTTCTAAATCAGATTTTCTTTCTATATGCTCTCAGGGAAATCTTCCAACAGACATAATTGGGACAGTGAATAAGGATTTTGTTTAACCTGAAAATTAATAAAGCAAAAGTTTTTGATGGCTTGTTTTTGCTAAACATCTCTCTTTAAAATCACAGTATTTTTAAGACCACAGAGAAATTTGGAATCCATAGACCCTCAATTTACAATTCGGAGGAAAATGGAACAGATGAGAGAAGAGAGAGAGCTTGTGGAGCAATTGCGTGAGGTATGTGAAAGACAATGTGAAAGGCTGCAGATTTTCAGCTGAAGCATGTATTTCCTGTTTTCCCTTGGGAAAGTCACCTAATCTTAGGGCAAAAACCGTGCTTGGGTGTATAAGCATGGGAATATCAGAGTGGGAAGATACAGCATTAGTGAGACCATGACTGGAATACTTTTGATGTCCATACTTCAAAAAAAATTTTGAAAAATTTGGAAAAGATTCAGGAAATAGTCACAAGAATTATTTGAGGTCTGGACAAAATATCTTACACTGAGAGACTTAAGAAGCTCTATCTATTTAGTTCATCCAAAAGAAGGTTAAGCGGTGACTTAATCAGTGTACAAGTATCTGCTTGGGGAAGAGGTTTCTGATGGTGGGCATAGCTCTTTAATCTAGCAGATAAAAGGCATAATGAGATCCAATGGTTGGAAGTTGAAGCTAGACAAATTCAGACCAAAATTAGTGCTTTATTTCTAAAGTGTAGATAATTAAGATTTGCAACAATTTACCTAGCAATATGATGGATTCTCCATCACTTGAGATTTTTAAATCAAAACTGGGTATCTTTCTAAAAGATACACTACAGCTGAAACAGAAGTTATGGGCTTGATGCAGAATTACTGGGTGAGGTTCTATGGCCTGTGTATTGCAGTCCAGTTTAGATAGTCACTTGTGGCCTTAAAATTTATAAACCTCTCTGTGCCTCAGTTTCACCATCTATAAAATAGAGATGATATAATTACTGCAAAGAGTGTTAAGTGTTAAGATCTTCAGTTGCAAGCGGTCCCAAATACGAAGTGTTCTTATTTGTGTCTGTAGTGTTAATTGCATTACAACTACTAAAGTTATGAGATAATTTTACATTACTATTGGTTTAAGATACATTTGGTGTTACAAGAGAATAGTAGTATCACCTGATATTATCATGATCAACTTGAATTTTGTCCATTGACTAATGTAAAACATGTATATTTTCTTGATTGAGCAACTTTTAAATATGTACTGATTTTAAAAAAAAGAACAAAAAAAAAAAACTTTTCTAAAATAAGGGCTTTTCTGTTCCCCAGCTAATGTTTAGAGGGGTCATTTAGTTAAGCACACCACGTCTTCCGCCTCCCTTACACATTGCACACATGCCTATCTGGTGCCTGCATAGTTTGTTTTAGCTTCGCTGCTGCTGTTTATAATACAGTGGCACCAAGAGGCCTCAGAAGGGCCTGTGATAAGCTGAATACCGCATATTGTAAATGAATGTTCCTGCCCCAAAGAATTTACAGTCTAAAAGACAAGATAGAAGAGTTGGGTGACATGGACAAACAGATGGAGGAAGGAGGACAGGGGAAACTATTTTAGCATAGACTGGCAGTATGCACAAATTTGTAGTTGTTACTGATTGGCTCATTACAGCAATCAGAGCTTGTCACCTGTTACTGGTAAACACCTCTTGCAACTTGTGAATTTTAGCAAACAGACAGAAGTGGGGAGGGAATGCAAGGGACAGGGATGATATATTTTTATCTGTCCTCTAAAGGACATAGTATAGTTTGGGGTACTATATAAATAATAATAATAATAATTAATAATGTGCTCTACTGGGAAGGAATATGAAAACACATGCCAAAGCATTTGCAAGATTGGAGCTCAAATCAATAAAAGTTACACATTTGTAACAAAATGCAATGGGTTTTTCTCCAGAAAATTTGTAAACATTCTCAATGTGCCCTACTTTGCTGATTGTTTTGCAATGCGAAGTGCATTTAATTAAGGTGTCCCTTTTGTCTGCGTAGAGAGCTTTCATATTTTTACCCAGTAGTACACATTACAGATCCAACCTTGTCCTCCATTCTGCATTCTTTCCAATTTTTGTTATGCCCACTTGTTTCTTTTCAGCTGTTTGAGGAGTGGCCATCTTTTTACTCTGTGTTTGTAGGGGGCTTAATGCAATGGGGCTCTGATCCTGACTGGGGATTCTGGGTGCTACTATAATAAAAAGAATATCTTTAGATAAGAGGCAACAAGCAAGAGTAGCAAAGTATGGTGCTGGCAGGGTGATGGAATGAGGAAGGACAAGCATTACAGTAATAAGATGATGTGGCTACTCACTTCTGGCACCGTTAAAGTGATGAGGTTTTTTCATAAGTTACATAGAATCATAGAATATCAGGGTTGGAAGGGACCCCAGAAGGTCATCTAGTCCAACCCCCTGCTCGAAGCAGGACCAAATCCCAGTTAAATCATCCCAGCCAGGGCTTTGTCAAGCCTGACCTTAAAAACCTCTAAGGAAGGAGATTCTACCACCTCCCTAGGTAACGCATTCCAGTGTTTCACCACCCTCACAATGAAAAAGTTTTTCCTAATATCCAATCTAAACCTCCCCCACTGCAACTTGAGACCATTACTCCTCGTTCTGTCATCTGCTACCATTGAGAACAGTCTAGAGCCATCCTCTTTGGGTGACCTGGAATGGGGCAGTGTGGTTTTTTTGGGGGGTTGGGTTTAGGAGCAATTTAAATGAAGATGTGGTGATGGCTTGACAAACTGGAATTGGATGAGGATTCACTGCAATAGTGGATAGGATGGGAAAAGGCATGGCGATGTGATAGAAAATATGGATATTTGCTTTTGGGGGAGGTGGTTCTTTCTAATTCTGTGTAAAAGTGGTGACGTGTTTGTTCTTCTTTTACAGAACATTGAAATGAGACTAAAGATTTGTTTGCCTGAAGACTTGGGGTCTGCTCTTATGGATGGGGTTGTTCTCTGTCATTTAGTCAATCACATTCGTCCTCGATCTGTGGGAAGTATCCATGTACCCTCACCAGCAGTAGTAAGTCAAATTTTTTTTAAAAAAAGAAAAACTAAAGCTTTATTATCAAATAAAATCTACTTTTGAAAAACAGGTCAGTGGGTGGTGAGTAGTGTTCACTCCTACAAACGTGTACTTCTTTCTTTTTCCTTTCCAGTTCAGATTGGCAGTAACTCAAATCTTCATAAAAATGAAGTAGTGGAGCTATTCAAAAAAAAATATACACTTCTCTCTTTTCTTATGAATAAACTGATCTGTGGCTGGCTGAAGCTCATGATAGGTTTGTTGTCTATACCATCTAGATTGCAGGAGGTCAGATTTTTCCATAAATGCCTTGCTGTTTATGTTGTAGCAGGTGATCATTATCCTCTGACAAGATTTTGTTCCAGTGGATACTTTCCTAAAAATCAGTTCTCCACTTCCTGGTGCATTGTTAACATGTTTTGTCATAGAATACAATATGATTTATAATGTACTCTACTAAGCATGTATCTGCATCCAATCCGGAATCCAGAAAAATGGTCCACGGGTATCCGCATCCACATCTGCAGATGCCTATATCCGCAGATATAAAGTGGAGAACTCTAAGCATGTGGGAAACATTATGCTACAATGAGATTAGCAATTTATTAAGTTAACAACAATCCTATATAGCAAGGGTTTGGGCAGGTTTTTTTTTGTTTTTTGGGGTTTTTTTGTTAAATATCAAAACAACTCATTTTTTGTCACAGACAGGACAGAAGAGAAACATATGACCTAGTCCTGCAATCTTTGATTCCCCAAAGGTACTAGGACATATGCAGGACCAGGGTCATCAAGGATTTTTTGTATCAAATCTACTTACGTACACTTTTTTCAAACCTAATTTCCTTTTCTTTTCAACTTTCTTCTGGATTTTTCCTGTATTTACGGAAGACTTGGTTTCTGTTAGTGGGGACATTTCTGGTCTAGATTTCTGAGGTCACTTTGATTCTGAAGAGGTTTCCTGTATTTTCAAAATATGATGCATAAAGTTGTGTAGTTTTTTCTGAGTGTACCTCCGGTTAAATATTTGTTAAATAAAACCTTATCTTTAATTCTGAGAGAGGCATGCTGATTGTAAAGGTTATCTGCTTAGGCTTTTAGGAGTATAGACTTTAACAAAAAACAAGGAGTTTTCAACAGTGGCTAAAAAAATGTATCCCTTTCATAAGAATGGCCATACTGGGTCTGAACAATGGTCCATTTAGCCCACTATCCTGTCTTCCAACAGTGGTCAATGCCAGGTGCCCCAGAGGGAATGAACAGAACAGGTAATCATTAAGTGAACCGTCCCCTGTCGCCCATTTCCAGCGTCTGGCAAACAGAGACTAGGAATACTTCAGAGCTAATAACCATCGATGAACCTATCTTCCATGAATTTATCTAATTCTTTTTTGATCCCTGTTATAGTCTTGGTCTTCATAACATCCTTTGGCAAAGAGTTCCACAGGTTGACTGAGCGTTGTGTGAAAAAATACTTCCCTTTGTTTGTTTTAAACCTTACCTATTAATTTCATTTGGTGACCCCTAGTTTTTGTGTTATGAGAAGGGGTAAATAACACTTCCTTATTTACTTTCTCCACACCAGTCATGATTTGATAGACCTCTATCATATCTTCCCTTAGTTGTCTCTTTTCCAAGCTGAAAAGTCCCAGTCTTATTCATCTCTCCTCATATGGATGTTGTTCCATACCCCTATTCATTTTTGCTGCCCTTTGCTGTACCTTTTCCAATTCCACTATATCTTTTTTGAAATGGAGCAACCAGATCTGCATGCAGTATTCAAGATGTGGGCATACCATGGATTTATATGGAGGCAATATGATATTTTCTGTCGTCTTATCAATCCCATTCCTAATGATTCCCAACATTCTGTTAGGTTTTTTGACTGCAACTGCACATTGAGTGGATGTTTTTCGAGAACTATCCACAATTATTCCACGATCTCTTTCTTGAGTGGTAACAGCTAATTTTGACTCCATTTTATATTTTCAGTTGTTGGTTTTAGATCACTTGATTCGTGTCATGTCCCATTTTACTGCAGAGACTTGCAGAGTAGACAAGACCTGAATTTCCAAGGCTAAAAGGTTGTTCTTAGTGTTTTACAAAACACTTTCAGCCCTTGCTGACACATAGTTAACCTTGAGAAGAAATGTTCTGGAGAATGCTAGGCAGCTAATGTCTCTTTTGGTGCTGATGAGCTTTCAGTTTAAAGGTCAGGAATATCAGTATCACTTCTCCCTGTTAAAGTAGGGAAATAAAGGATTGGCTGTGGTGACACAGAATGCCACTGTAAGAGGTTTGATAGTCTTGAGTCAGACAAATAGGACAAAGATGGCATCATATTATAGGAATCTTTGAAATTCTAAAATACTAAGGAAGTAACTGTAAAAATGAATTGGAAGGTTTTTAATTAAGAATCAATATGATAAAAGAACCAATTTAAAAATATAGAAATGACATTATAGAGTTTGTACAACTGTTCTTAATGTATGTTGAAATGATATATCAAGTTCTCATAATATCCAAAAATTAAATGTGAAAGACGTATGATTCCCTTTATACACATCTTAAAACAGCCTGAGATGTTTGGGTTGTAAAATTCCCATTAGAAAAGTATTACCACTTCTTGCAAGTAAGCCAGTCTTCCACTGCACATGATTATTAGAGGGGACAGATTTTCAGAACCTTGCAAGCCAGACTTTCATGTGCACAAACTGAGCCCACAGTGAGTTGGATGCACTCCCAATTTCAAAACTAGAGACTGGGCATGCACAAAAGCAAATGCACCCAAAAGCTGCATGTTTGTAAAGTAGCCTCCTGAAAAATTAAGCTGCAATGAACTAAGGCCACTTTAATTCTGAATGAGAACATCCACATGAGGATTTAATGTTTTTATTTATGCATATTAACTTTATCACTTTAATTCATTCATTTTCACTTTCCTGAATGTCCTTGCATAAATGAGCCCTGATTTGAGAGTGTATAGGCTGAGTGGGCCAGTCACTACAAGACCATCCAATGGAAATTAAGAGACAGTGATTGAAATGGGAGACTCTCAGTGCAGCTGAGCCCGATGAGTGACATAGAAAGAGACAGGCTGATATTGAGAGGAAGAAAAGAGAGCATAGAAGGGAACTTTTATGGTATGTAGCACATTTCAGAAGAACATGGAAGCAAATTCCACTTCAGTGTCTGTGATGCAATGTGAACATCATTACTAAAAATTCCTACTACTAACAACATGCATTAGTAAGGAGAACATATACCCAACTCAAAGAACTGCAGTTTTAACAGAATTGCAAAATACAGAGAAATAGAAATGAAGGAAAACCAGGCCAATGATTATGATTTTTAAAAAGCAGAAAAAAACCTTCAACTATAAAAACACATGATGGGAATGGAAAGGCTTCCACGCTCTTATTTCTGAGCATATTTTTGAAGGTTTATAGACCATCTGAGAATGTCCTCTGACCAGCTGCTGAGAGAGGTCACCGCATGAGTTGGGGTATATCTACACTGTAATTAAGTAGCTTTGGCTGGCCCATGTTAGCTGACCCGGGTAGTGGGGGCTGTAAAACTGTGGTGCAGATGCTCGGGTCGGAACCCGAGCTCTGGGACCCTCCCCCTTTGTGGGGTTGCAGAGCTCCGGCTCCAGCCCTAGCATCTATACTGCAGTTTTACAGTCCTGTAGCCCGAGCCCTATGAGCCCGAGTCAGTTGACACACAGGCCAGCTGTGGATGTTTAATTGCAGAGTAGACATACCCTTGGAGGCTTACAGAGTGCACTGGCCTCCTCCACTGTTGTTCTGCCCTTGCCAGTGCCACAGAGGTCACTGCCGTGATGGATGGGTGGTGGCATGGAGACATCGTGGCAGTAGGAGACTAGTATGTTGGCAGTTTGTCAGTTATTAGATGTTGGTCAATCTACTGTTTACCATTTCCTAATTTATTTTTTCAGGAACAACCTCCTCTAAATATTTCATCAGCAGTAGAAACATCATTTAATAGGCAGAATTTTATGATGACTACTGTATATTATTAGCTTCTGTCCCATTAATCCATGGTTCCTTGTTTTTTCAGCCTAAACTTAGTATGGCCAAATGCAGGAGAAATGTGGAAAACTTTCTGGATGCATGTAGGAAACTGGGTATACCAGAGGTAATTTTTAATTATGTCTATCAATATAATGTGACCTAAAACACACCAAAAAGCATAACTTGTGTGTTATTTTACAGTTGAAGGCTCTTTATTTTATGGCTAAAATGATTCGTGTCTCATTTTATGAACTATTACAGTCAAACATTTACCCCCTTATTCAACAATGCACGTATGTATGCTTTCAGCTTTAAGCACATGAATTGTCCCATTAAGGTGTTCATATGAGATATTCATGAGTTTATGGTTCTACTGTCGTTAATGAGACTATTGTGATTAAAGGCATTGCTGGATTGGGTTGACTAGAAGGCCCACTAAGAAATGACTGAATTTTGTGCATTAGCAAACTCAACAATAAAACAGGTACAAGGTATAACAAAATGGATAATATTTCATTTTTGAAAACATACCAGTTTTGCCATAGATAGCTAGATAAGAGTATTTACAGTAATCCCAATTCCTCCTTGTATTTCCTATAGAGAATAACTAGTAAATATCTACTAGCAAGTAGATGCTAATTTTTCCTTATATAAAACTAATATTAAGTTTTTTAAAAGTGATGACTGTGTTTTACTTGGTGCTTTTATTTTAAAAGCTTAGTTTAAAGTATTTATACTTTATACTATATTACATATTTTGTAGTATGTTTTGTCAAAGAAATTGGTAATATGAGATCTCATCTCGGAGCTCTGTTACATTTTTGCTGAGGTGTAAGGAGAGCATTTCATATGTGTAAATTATGAATGTGCAGATTAGCAAAATGCAAATTGAGTGAGGTTCTACTGTAATGTTAAAATATCACTGTAGAAATGTGAAATGACAAAATGCAGTAAACTCAAGAAAGTTTAAGATTTTACATTTTCAGGTTTCTGTAGAGAATGCCAGTAGTCCATATTCTGATAAACATTATACTAGAGTAACTCATTATGATACAATTTAGTTACTCTGGATTTACACTGATGCAGTTTAGATCAGAATCTGTCCCAGTATCCAAAAATATGTCTGATGTAATTAAAGACCATTTCATTTCAAACAATTGGCCTTCAGTATGAGGAATTAGTTTGTATACAGACTAGTTTTTAATGCAGTAAAATATAAAACTACAAACATAAAACTGTACATGACTTAATGTTGTCATTGTATTTTTGTTAACAGTACAACTTAGGCTCTGAGAGCACTTTTATTTTAAGGTTTACTTTCAGGAGTTTAAAACATGTTTAGATTTGTTTTTACTTTGGGATGAGACTTGAACACAAAGTCTTTAAGTTATGGAAGGATTCCTTTTTCAGAATGTGAAGAAATCCACTAGTCTGACCTCAATTTGAAGGGCAGCAAAACAAACAGTGTTTTTTCCCTTTCTGCAATTTGAAGAGGCATTGGGCGGGAGGATTGTTCTCATATCTACATGAATTACTGTTAAAATTAAACTTTGCAATCCATAGTGTTATGAACTATGTCTCTATTTTAAAAATGATTATATTGGCCATCTGTTACAGTTTATTAATGCACAGTAACTGGTTTCATAAAGTTATGTAATGTAAAATATTCATGATAATATTAGAATGGCTGCATATTGTGGGCTAAAAAGATTAGTTTCAGAAATAAGACGGCATGTCTCCGTATTATGAGAATATTGTGTCAAAATGTATGCAGCCTGTGTGTGGAATGTTTAGTGAGATGTGAGCGACCCTTTGATGCACTCATAATCAGAGTTGCCTGGAAATGGCCTTTTGGGGGAAGGGAGAGAAGGAAGGTGGTTGTTTTTTAATTAAGGCACATGACCCCAACTGCCCCCCGCCACGCGTCGCCTCTTTAAGGGTTTACATTTGTTTTTCTCTTTGCAGCTTTCAATGAAATATAAACTTTCTCTGCTAATGTTGCAGACTTGTTATAGATTTTTGGCGCCATTTGACTAACTGTTTATATATTGCATGTTTTCATAGAGGGTTAAGCAAAGGGTCAAATCTCATAAATCTAAATAAATAAACATTAGTTTCTACCCATATAAAATTTCATTCACTTAAATATCAAGGACATTTGATTAAGGTTTGTAATTTATAAGAGATCTTGTGGAATTCTGTAAGAGAATTCAGGTTTACTCAGCATGGATGGCAATTGACAAATTTACTGCTATACTTCCTGGAAAAGGCATTGTGTTTCAGAGCTTAGATGGGTGAAAGTGTTTGGAGTTTGCTGTGTTTTACTGAGTGAATGAGAGAGAGAAAATGTTGGAAACAAAGATCAGTGGTAGGTAGATATGATTGTGTGAGTAGCTAGCAGGATGCCAAAGCCCAGATAGATCAAGAATCTGTCTAGGAACAATGTGCTGTAAAAGTGCCGAGAGAGACATTCCCCACTTTCTAACATTTGAATGTATGTTGATTGTTCTTATGTAGCCTAACTGTCTCAGGAGACTCCAGCAATAGGAATACAACATTTGCAATGAATTTGTTTTCTTTTCTGAACAGATTACCGTTAAGCTCCAGCCCTTTCTTGGCAGCTCCTATGCCTACTAACCCATACCACAGCGTAGCATTCTATTCCTATCACATTAACATATGTCTCTGTAGGAAAAATGGATGATCTGGGACGGGCTGAATGCTGTTTCAGTACAAGAGGGTGATCAAAATGGAAGATTTTAGACGCCTTTAAACAGAAGGGGGCTTTCAGTGGAATAAGGTGGGATGCTGTTTAGTGGTAGTGCTGAAGGATCTCCAGAACCATATGCTCACTGAGCTTCATGACTGACCTTGAGACAAGTGTAGCATGAAGATGCAAACATGCAATGTGATTTGGAGGATGATAATTTTACAGGACATTGAGTCCTGGGTTGCAGCTTTTCTAGCCCCCAGTTGAATGTTGAGTGTCAGGAAAAGATTCTCCAAAGATCTTGCCAAGGTCCTTGAGCAAACCAAAGGAATTTGGGACATACAGTATTTTAAATCAGTGGCTCTCAATCTTTCCAGACTACTTTACTTTACCCCTTGAACGAGTCTGAATTGTCTTGTGTACCTCCAAGGTTCACCTCACTTAAAAACTACTTGCTTACAAAATCAGACAAAAATACAAGTGTCACAGCACACTGTTACTGAAAAATTGCTGACTCTCATTTTTACCATATAATTATAAAATAAATTACTTGTAATATAAGTATTGTACTTACATTTCAGTGTATAGTAGTGTATAGAGCAGTATAACCACGTCATTGTCTGTGTGAAATTTTAGTTTGTACGGACTTCGCTAATCCGTTTTATGTAGCCTGTTGTAAAACTAAGCAAATATCTAGATGAGTTGATGTACCCCCTGGAAGACCTCTGTGCACCCCAGGGGTACGCATACACATTGTTGAGAACCACTGTTTTAAATGAATAAACAGGCAGGAAAAAAACAGTCCATCTTTGTACATAAAAGCTCACTTTTTTGCTTTGAAATTCACCATTAATATATGTATGAACACACTGTTGAGGTACTCAGTCATCTGCCCACAGCATTTAGCCTCTCAGGAGTGCTCAGAGTCATAAAGACACTTACAGGTCAACAAATTTGGAAGTTTTGTCTTGACACAAAGCAAAATATGTCCAGGACTATATATATAATAGGATTATATTATATATATATTATCAGGGACAAAAGAGGGACAAGAGGGAATATAGAGGGGAAATCTAATGAATATCTTAGGTGTCTGTATAGTAATGCAGGAAATCTGGGACATATACAGGAGGAACTAGACATACCAGTGAATAATCACAATTATGACGTAATTGGCATCGCAGAGATTCAGTGGGATAATTCATATGACTGGAATAGTTGTGTAGAAGGATAGAGCTTATTCAGGAAGGACAGGCTGGGGAAAAAGGGAGGAGGTGTGGAGTTTTATATCAAAGATGTATATGCTGGCACTGAGATTGAGACAAAAGTTGGAAGCAACCTGTTTAAAGTCTCTGGGTAAGGATAAAATGGGTAAAAAACCAGAGTGATGTCTCCTACAGACCATCTAATCAGGAAGAAGAGATGGATGAGGCTTTTTGAAACAACAAACAAACTCATCCGAAGCACAGCACTGGGTAGTGTGATACGCAACTTCAACTACCCAGACATCTGTTGGGAAAAACAGCAGTGCACAGATTATCCAACAAGTTAATGGAGTGCATTGAAGGCAACTTTTTATGGCAGGAGGTGGAGAAAGCAAGGAGGGGAGAGCCTGTTCTAGATTTGATTCTGACAAATAGGGAGGAACTGGTTGAGATTTGAAGGTGGAAGGCAGCTTGGGTCATGAAATGAGAGAATTCAGAATTTATGAAATGGGGCTCTGTCTTTCCTACATCTTACGCAACTTAAAATTTTTTTTTAAACATACTCTTACTTACATGTATGCATTGAGTTGAGCATTGATAGAGAGGTTATGTGTGCAAAGGAGATTGGAATAAAAATACACATCATATTGTTTTCATCTTCCAATTTTAAAAAGATCAGTGTGCACCTTAGGTTTGATTTTGTGTACTGATAACCGAATATCGTCTGCTTATCGTGAATATCATTGCTCAGTACAACTTTCTTAATGCAACAAGTTGCTTAGATGTTTGTATTCCAATTTAAATAGCTGCATGTGGGCATTTATATCTTCCAAAAATGTATGAATAGCCTAGGTTCACATATTTTTAATTTTAAAATTTTAAATAAGAAGTTTGAGCCTTAAACTCCTCAGCTTGGAAATTTTCTTAAACTAATCAGTATCCTTTAACCAGTGTCTCTTTCAATTTTCATCCCAGAGTACCAGCCAAAGTAAACAATTTAATCACCAGATTTTAAGGTGCATGTGATGTTAGGTGAACAATTGTATTTATATTCATAACAATTTATTTTTTAGTATGTTTTTCCTGAGATTTCAGTATCATGGTTTGTCTCAACTGCTAAGAGAACTTTCTTGCTTTTATAGGGGCCTGTTCTTGCAAAATCTGAATCATGCAATTAGTCCCATTTAAGTGATTAAGTGATTGAATGGA